TGTTCTGTGAGGAATGCATCGAATACCATTTTGAAAATGAATAATTCCTTGATTCACGTCAAATATGTATTCCGTTTATTCAAATTTACTTTGGTGCACCCCACAACAAAAGCTCAACAAAAACCGGGGCACAACGGGGCGATATCGCCCACTTTAGGAACAGCTATTCTACAGTATACTACTCTACCTAAACTATGTTCTGAGCTGTAAGATCGTACTTGCTTTGAAATAACTTCTATTCAAACTGTAGTTTCCGAAGGCAAGCAAGCAGAACGCTAAACTTGGCTGTCATGACAACTACCTTAAAAGCAATTTAATAAATAAATAAAAAAATAACACATGTATGAGCCGCGACATGCTCAGCATAATTTCTATATTTCCGTTGGGAACATAACTCATCGTTTCTATTTTTGTATTTTAGTACAGTAACGAACAAAAGTGTTACATTATTTTAGTAAACTGTTCATAAGAGTTTTATTAAAATTTAACGAAATATTCCAAAGTACTTGAACTGTTAGTGTAAAAATTTAAAGGCTCGTGGCAGGGCATCTATACACATTAGAGAATACAAGTATGAATACTTTAATCGCTATGTCGTAAAACACACCCTAACATATTTTCATAATACATTCCCTAATTTCATATCTAGAATATGCTCTATTCGATAAACCTGGATATTTTTGTCTCGAAGCAGGGCTTTTTGAGAGCAACAATCAGAATGCAATTAAACACATTAACTTCACAGCTCAAAGTCAGTAGCAGTATTGGTGTTCTTAACCAGCTCAGCACTAAAAGGGTTAAGAACAACCCTTTTAGTGCTGAGCTTATTTTCCATATTTTGCAGATATTGCTAAAGGATTTTTATAAAAAAGTACCTTATATAAAAAGCCTAACCTCCAAGAATAAATACAAAATCAAAGCGAAATTCACAGCCAAATAATTTTAAATGGCTATAAAACAAGTCAGTATGGGTCAATACCTAATATCTATAATAAAACTGCGCAAATACTTTATACGCGTTTAATAGAGAATCGATCTATCGACGGTTCCTAGTACCAGGTGAGCAACAAACTCGTCTTCCTATCTGCAATAAAATCCATTAAAAGTATTCTAAAGTATGCGCCGAGACAAATACATACAGACATCAATCGCTTTTTTGGTAACAGCGTTAATTATTTAATACAAAAGAAAATAAGTCGAAACCATTAAGCTCAGGGACTGACGCCACCGGTCATTCACATCGCGATGTACTAAGTATTAGCGAAAACTGAACCCTTATTCCTAAGTGGATAAAGATAATAAAGAAGCCTTTATTAACAACCTTACTTCATATTTAGGTACATACTATTAATGTAATTGTTCTAAACATTTCACATCGGCAAAAATTGTTTTGCTTTCGCATAGGATTCCCCCAAATCCTGCCATGAGTCCCGGTCGTAGCAATTCCTCTTCCACGTAGAGCCTGCAACGGCCTTTATTTCGTCTACCCACTTTTGGAACGATCGTCCTTTTAAGCTTTTCCCCTCTCGTGGATAAGGAAAATTTGATAAGGAAAATGGATAAGAAAAAAAAAAGCGGTAGGTAGCGGCTTGGCTCTGCCCCTGGCATTGCTGAAATCCATGGGCGACGGTAACCACTCACCATCAGGTGGGCCGTATGCTCGTCTGCCTACAAGGGCAATAAAAAATAATAATTAAATAAATGCTCCTGGGGTTCCCATACACTGCTATTTTTTTGAGGCCTAGTAACGAGACCTTTAAGCCAAGTCTTATATTCTCTTCTTACATTTCGTTATAATATGAAAAACGATATGAAGCGAAATGAGATGAAGTTGATTAACTTAAGACTTTAATTCATAGGGATAAAAACTAAATGAAACGAAATTAGATAGAATGAAATATAATCTCAGTAAAATGGTGGTTATTTACTGAGACTTTTACAGCGGACATTTTGGAAGAATCCAACAAATTTAGCCCAAAAGCTTTGTTTTGTTTTCTTACATTTATGGACTTTCAAAGATACTAAACAATTAATAAACCACCGTTATTATACATTTAAACTTAGAGAAACACTATCTATCTATCTTCGTCCATAGACGTCTACCGCTCGACATAGGCCTCCCCCAAGCACTAAATGAACAAAATAAAGTATTTCACTCAGATTCGCTCCTCAAGTTCCCGCCAAAAGTCTTTCCCCCTACGCTGACATTATGATTATGAGTCCACAGGGTTGACAGCGCCAAACTTTTTAATAGGCATCCGCTCTCAAATGACCCATCGACTCGTAATCATTATCGTCTTTTTTTTACCGAAGCAAAATAATGGAGTAGGGTTGAGTGACCCTAAATTAATTTCAATGAACGGTCACTTAAAATATTTCGCGATAAAATTAGCAAGACGGTATTTGTAAATGGCATAAGTTATTTGACACAGAGTGTTCTGCAGGGAACATACGTGTGTTCAACTCTGGTAGATGAATAAGTTATATTACAATAATATTTGGGGGTGAGATCAAAAGGGGCAAACCCAGGACAGGGTCAAGTGGAAACAGCTTGTGAGGGCTCTATGTACCAGCGAGGTACCCTAGGACTTCAACAACAACCCTTTGTCTTGTTTGCTTTAACAATTAATTCTACCAATGCCGGTCCCAAGCCCGGATGAGAAAAGGGGAGGGTTGAGATGGGGTTCAAACTTCGATCGATCAAATAAGGCTTCAGTGGCATCGAAGAACTAAATCTCTTCCAAAAGCACTGCCGTGGAAGAAAGCTCCTCCCACCATGCGTATTTTCCCAAGAAACCGTCATGAAGCCATAACCCTCAGCATTGAGGATTATCGACGCTAGGATGAGGAAACAAAAACAAATATGGCATATTTTATTCTCCCGCTGTACGTTGAAGTGTTACTTTATTTCTGTACCTGCTTGCATCGCTTGCAACATCGCTCTAATCACCATATAAATAGTTTTCAATGCTCGAAGCGAGGTGTTCAGTTACGTTCCAAATATACTGGAGTTGGGAAACGAATCTTTCCACATGACACACGCAGTAGTGGATAACTTAATTCGATTTAGTATTATACTACTTAAATACCTTAAGTAGCATTGTAAAAGAAAATAAATGAAACTACCCCATTTTCGATGAATACAGTAGATTGAGGGGAATAGGAACTATAGGTATAATAGGGACAAATCTGGTATGTCACAATACTTTTGTCTTGTTGTTAGAGATTTAACTTTGTTGAACTGAAAATTACTTTTATTTAGTGTTTAAGAATATTAAATAGTTTAATTTAGTCATCAAAGTTTTGTAACTCATTAAAGATCTATTAATTAAGAATATCCAACCAAGTTGAAGGTGTCGTGTAGATATCTTAGAGCGCGTTAGGACTCGTTTTCTCGCAAAATATTATCGATATATTATACTCATAATGTATTTACATTAATAGAGGTTTATGACCGCGCTCAAGGTAAGAATTATATTAACAATACATAGCTGATGGCACAACGGACTGACATATGTATATTATTAATACGTGAAGCAAAAACTTTGTACCCCTTTTTACGAAAATTGCGCGGACGGAAGAGTATGAAATTTCACCACACTTATAGAGAATATAGAGAAGGAGTGCAGAAATTTTCTTTTTTGCTAATAAACATAAAAAATACAGTAAATTAATAAAAAAAAACATTACACACCATATATTTGACACACGCGTATATAATATGTATGCACTCTTTTGTTTATTGTTAAAGTCTGTGGTCAAATTAAGAATTAATTAATATTGTTTGTCTATAATATTATTTGTCTATAGTATAGTCTTGTGAAAACTGATTTCAGGAGAGTTGTACCAACTTAATCGAACACATACCAATTAGTTTCCGCATTTACAATATTGGCAGCTTTCAATCGCAGCTTCACTTGAGTGTTGATATAGAAAAAAAATCCCAAAGGAATAGCCTTTTTTGTATTTTTAACCGACTGCAAAAAAAAGGGAGGATGTTTTAGCTCGACTGTATTTTGTTTGACGTGCGTTGCCTCAAAACGTATTTTTTTTTCTTTCTGAAAGCTATTGCTTCTCATGTGGTCCTAATTAAGACTTGACCAGTAGTTGATTTGGGAGAGTCCTAAATAATGCATATTCTATTGATTTAAACCACATTGATGATATTGTTATTTAAATCGATTTTTTCTTTTTTATTAAAATTTTATATTATTTACTCTGACCTCCTTTAGTGTACCCCTAGCAACGTGTATGCAAATTTTCGCAATGATCAGCTAAGTAGTTAGACGTAAAAGCGTAACAAACTAACAATTCTTTATTTCTTCTACTAGATTTATATTATTATCGATGGACTAGCTGACTTACAGGCTCTCAAACTATGCAATTATTTCACATGATGACTGTTAATATTCAAAAGTCAATTAACATTATTTTTTTGCGCGGGAAAATACTATACAGATTCTCCGACGTTACTTCAAGTATTTGCAATAAAATTATTTTGTTGGAAATTTATCTTTTTGTTTTAATTGCCTTTGCAAGCAGACGAGCGTACGGCCCACCTGATGGTAAGCGGTTACCGACGCTCATGGGCGTCAGCAATGGCAGTATCAGAGCCAAGCCGCGGCCTACAGTCTCCTACTTATCTTGCACTAGCGTTACAATGGATACATCTATCTATATATTATTATATAAAAATGAATTGCTATTCGTTAGTCTCGCTAAAACTCGAGAACGGCTGGACCGATTTGGCTAATTTTGGTCTTGAATTATTTGTGGAAGTCCAGAGAAGGTTCAAAGGGTAGATAAATATGAAAATCCTCGGAATTAAATAAAAATAACAATTTTGTTTTTCCTTTGATGTGTCCCCCCTCGGACGGATTCTTTTTGTTTGTTGTAAGTTTATTTTATACAATAGTTTAGGTCTTTTATCTATCGATTGAGGCACTACGTAGTCTGCCGGGTCAGCTAGTTTAGTATAAAGTACGATGAAGTAAACTTACCTCGGTCCATAGTGAGGGAGTTCACCATCGCCACCACAGCAAGGACAGAGAAGATTCGTGCGCACATGGCCGGAATCGCCATGTCTGCTAAAATGTTACAATCACGAAAATTCCGATATTTTAATTCCAATACTCAATATATTAATGTTCAATTACTTATATAAGAATTTACAATCCACTATTCCATTTTTGAAATTAATAAAAGACCACGCTAAAAACTCGAACATTGATAAAAATATAACACTTATCGCTTTATAGATTTGACCTTTTTAAGAACTTTTTAATACGATATTAATATTATAATATACTAAGACTAAAAATTACATGTTTTTTTCAAAAATATTTCCTTTGTTTATAAATACTAAGCATTTTTCGTATATTTACCGCGTTATTGCTAATCACTTTATTCCCGCCAATTTAAAATCCCGCGATTTTTTTTTCAGTTAGCAGGAACTGCATGCGCAACGCGTGCACAAACTACTCATGCACAACGCGACTGACAAAACTGGCAACTGACAAGTCACCCGAAGGAATCACAGCTTCTACAGATGATGTCATTTTGTTACTTCGATATCGTAGGATCAATTATTACATCATTTAATAAAGTATTTCAATTTAATGAACATACAAATGAGTCGTCTATTATCAAAGGCGGCAATCTGTACATTTGGACAAAAAATTTTTATTGATATGTCAATACAGATTTATTTGAATATAATCGTCTCCTTCAAAGAATACGGTTCAAAACCTGCATTAAATAAAGGTTAATAGTTAACCTGTTATTTATCTAAGATGTCGTTCCGAAGAGTTTTGTGACTGCCAATGGANTTGAATATAATCGTCTCCTTCAAAGAATACGGTTCAAAACCTGCATTAAATAAAGGTTAATAGTTAACCTGTTATTTATCTAAGATGTCGTTCCGAAGAGTTTTGTGACTGCCAATGGAATACAAAGTCAATAATTCGTTTTTCTGATTTACCAATCATTGTCCAAAAGTCAGATTGCCGCCTTTGATAATAGTCGACTCAAATATGAATTGCGATTGAAGGTCGTTTTTGGGTATCAATAAATAAACAATTTATTGGTCGGCGGTTTTAATGTAGGTTGTACGATAAGAAATCGCCATAAAATGACATCTTGGTCAGTGAATTCATAGTATATTTGTTACCATATTTTAATATACCATACCGTATTATTATATTATAATAGTGAAGCATTTATGCCCCAAAACTTCTGCTCTTGGTAACGACAAGATCCACTCCTGCAGTGACAAGAGAACAAACGCGCGACTATCCTCGCCCTGGTGGCAATATAAAATCCTAGGTTGACACTAGTCCTAGGACTAGACGCGCCACTATTAATAGGATGGCAGACTGAGAAAATCCTGCCATACTGCCCAGATCAGAATTTCAACTAGCCTTTGAGACCAGAACGTGATACACACTTTATTTTCACAAGAAAGAGCCAATTACTAACCCGTGTCGAATACACGAGGCACCAGAATTATACCCCAGCGTGTCCATTGTAAGGATACAGCTTCTTCCCACAAGCCTAGGTGATTAGCAAACAGGTAGAAAAAGTATATTGTAACTAAGGACGGATGACAGATAAATAGAAAGTCGCATACCCGACCCATCTTCTGATATCATATAACATAGCACAGAAGAGTGTCAATAATTAATTACATTCCATGACTTTATTGTATTACGGTAGATAATTAATACAATCATCTCCAGTCAAAAGCAAAAAACAATCTCACGAGCACGAGGATTTCTTGAAATTTAAGTTTAACCAAGTTCAAAATAAATTATTAAAATAAACGTCTTTCTTGTTTTGATTTGGAATTGATTAAGAAAAGCTGAGAATTGGGTAATTTTATAAATGTCATGTTTATTAAACCAGCAGTTTGGTAATAATTTAAATTAGATTAAATGCAGGTATTAAAAAAACCAAAATAGCTATCAAACTAAGAAGGTAGTAGAATATTAAATTGTTTGCAAGGGATGCTCTGAGTGTGGAGTCTGAGTGAAGAGTGCTCTGAGGAATTGTTCGAGATGATACAGTCATCTCGTTTTTACCATCGCACCGCCCGCCACCGGAGTAGAGTTCATCAATACTACCTGGAGCCACTGCGGCCATCCACAATGCTTTTCCAGAGGTCTTTTTTGCCACGTACCATCCGGCTATGGAATGAGCTCCCCTCTACGGTGTTTCCCGAGCGCTATGACATGTCCTTCTTCAAGCGAGGCTTGTGGAGAGTATTAAGCGGTAGGCAGCGGCTTGGCTCTGTCCCTAGCATTGCTGAAGTCCATGGGCGACGGTAACCACTCACCATCAGGTGGGCCGTGCGCTCGTCTGTCTACAAGGGCAATAAAAAAAATGCTTTAACTAACCAGTTCACGCGAGCTCATGCGTTCAATGCGAGTTTTTTTATTGTAAGATTCATTTAATGTTTCGACCTAAGCTGAAAGTAAGATTTGAAAATATAACAATATGGTACTTAATATATCTACGATAAGTATACAATTAAGTAAAAATTTCAAAGCCTCAATGGAAATAAAGTACTGTATTTAAATAAGGTAAACTTTAGGTACATAAAGTCTAACGATTTTGTTTGAAAATAGTAATCATAGAGAATAATACACTTAGTATTTGAATAGTAATAAAAAATTTTGAAGAATAAAACCGAGAGTACCATGACATGGGGTAAATTAGGATCCTGGGGTAAATTGGGACAAACCTGCGGAAGATTCTCAAAGTACCTGTAGCACGGAATCTACCTAATTTTGTTTATGTTAATATTTATCAATGTATAGATGAAAAACCAAGTTAACTATGGAAGTACTAAATATGAGTTAAGTTGGTCCCAAAAATTCGTCAAATTAAATTGAAAATAGTGGTTGAAAAGTGCGTTTTAAAACAGCTTACAAAACTTTTAAAAAAAGTAATATTATCGTTGTTTTTTCAATAAGATCACAGTTTTATATAAGTTTTTAATACACCTGGAAATACCACAACAAACGGTAAGTTACAATATTCTTATTTTAAATACAATATTTCGACAAAATAAAAAATGTATAATTTTTCCTTTCTTTTTGGGGAAAATTGGGACGTATGTGGGGTAATTTGGAACGAGACTGGAAAAATTAGGGACGAGAAAACACAAAATTGGAACGCCAAAAGACAAAATAGGGATGGATTGTTAGGGTTGTCACTGATATCTTATAATAGATTTTTTAGCCTATACTATCACTCAATTGCGTGATGTAAAGAAGGTTAATGTGTTTATCAGTTAGTTCATGTAAGTACTATAGGTAAAAGAAAAGTATATATATAATTACATTTTTTCGCGACATTTACCTTGTAATATCTACCCGGTCGTATGTCCTTTATAGCAATAAAATAAAATTAAAAATTAAAAAGAACTGAAACGAATCAAAACTTTTGTTATTTCAGAATCTATTCACGCGTCGAATCATGATTTTTTTAACTTTCACAACGCACATACAAATAAAAACAGGCCTCAGATTTTAAATGTAACATTAATCAAAAATCCGAGATATCTAGGTTCCAATTATGAGTGAGTGAATTAATTGAGTTTAGTTATTTAGCTTAGAAAGAATTTCTTTTATTTTTGTTATTATAGGCAGTAATCAGATAAAGCTGCTTTTTTATCTTATTCACCCGATATCTTACTCTTGCTCAAAGATTATTTTGAAAATGTTGATTAAATAAAATTGTATTATTGTATTTCCAGTCCTTTTGTTTTTATTATTCCAGTTATTTTTTATTCTATTTTATGATTTTGTTTCAGAGTTGTGATTTTTAAGGAAATTAAATAATAATTTTCTAAAATATAACATGCACATACTTTTTTTGATCATTGTATTGTTGATTATCATTCACGTCACATCGCTTCGGAAAAGAAACCAGCTTAATTTACACTATGTTGTGTATTGTGCTTAAATTATGGATTGTATTCATCATTTCGGTCCATATAAATAATTGTATGGCACCTACCTACCTACCTATATATCGCAGTACCGCGAACTGACAACCCTTACAAATATCCCAATTTAACCCTTACCCGTGTCAATTTACCCCGAATGCGGGGTAAATTGGGATGGCCATTATTTTTCCGATTATTTCTTTAAATTGAATAATTAAAATAATGTAA